ACCCCGACCTTGTCCCGGCGTTTGGAGGCGCGCGGGCACCAGCAGCCCCGCCAGCAACAGCAGCAGCAGCAACCGCCGACCCGCCATCTGCCCCCGACCACGACGCAGCAGCCGGCGAGAAGAGCGCGCTGTGGCCCGTGCAGGCGCAGAAGACTGGGAGGCGGGACCGCGGGACGCGCGCGCACACCGCGCCCGCGAAGTCCGAAGGGGAGTGCGCATGCGCCGGGAGGCTGTTGGCGACCCCCGGCGCCCTCGCTGCCCCAGCCGGCCGGGCCTGGTGCGCATGTGCTGCGGCTACACACGTGTGTCACCTCCCTTGACCCCGACCCGGCTTGTCACGCTGCAGTCCCGTGCACTTCTCCCTGCTCCGGAACTTCTGCTCGCATGGGACTTATGCCAAATTTTTCCAGCAAGAACCAAAGCCAAGTACGAACAGCCACCTCCTTCCCCAGAAGCGCGGACAGGGGCAAGGTGATGTTCCTACTCTGCAAAATTCAATTTTCTACAGTTTTCCCTGGTGATGGATGTAGAACAAGGAATAGCAGCCTCAAGTTGCAGCAGCAGAAGTTTAGGGTAGAAAAGTGGAAAAGCTTTTTCACCAGGAGGGTCGTAAAGCACTGGAACAGGCTGCCCAGAGAGGCGGTGGTCTCTCCATCCCTGAAGGTGTTTAAGACCCTGGTAGAGAAAGCCTCAGTTGGGATGATCTAGTTGGGGCTGGTCCTGCTTTGAGCAGAGGGCTAGACTCACTAGAGCAGTGTTTCTCAACCTCTGGGTCACAAGGGTCCCTTGAAAGAAGAAGACCCTTGAAAGACCCTTGAAGACCCTTGAAAGGGTCGCAAGCAAACTTGAAAAATGGATCAATAAACTTTAAACACAGATTCTCCTTTAAAGGAGAAAAACGTAGGAAACCATGGCTTTCCCCGTGCAGGCTGGCAGAGTCCCAGCCTGCAAGGAGTGATTGGGGCCCCCCGCCCCACACACTGGCGCCTGGGGGGCAGCAGGTCAGGAACGAGGGGCACGGGCTGGCTCTTGATGTTTACAAATAAGTCCTGGTGCAAAAAAAAAGGTTGATAACTGCTGCACTAGATGACCTCCTGAGGTCCCTTCCAACCCTAATTTTCTATGATTGGAAAGTTTTCTTTCACAAAAACTTCTTTCAATTGCAGAGGCTGTAGATGGGTGGCCTAAAAAAATCCTACCATATGGGGGAGGGGGGGTGGGAATCATCTACTACAGTATTGTAGTTCCGTGCAGAATACATTTATCCATGTCCTTGAGCTTTTGTTGGGAATGGTGGCATATGAATCTGATAAATAATTGCCTCAAGTGGAAACATAAATGCAATGGGATAAAGTTACAAGAAAAAACTGAGATAAATGTCTAGAAAACATATTGAAGACGGTCTGAAGGACTACGAAAAAGGTGTGGCAGTCTTTCAAGAAAACAAAATCCTATGCTAAAGCTGATGTAATTTGCCCTGACAATTTTATGAGACCTGGAATAGTGGTGTAACCATGACAGCCTAGGGAACAGGCAAAGAAAATTTGTTCGGTGACATCTTTTATTGGCCCAACTATATACATGGGAGAGATGTTAGACAGTCTTTCAGGGTCCGTTTTTAAGTCTGAGAAGGAAGCAGATACAGCCCAAGCTAAATACAAGATAAAAAAAATAACTTATGATTTTATGACTTGATTTTTATAGAGTATGAATTTTATGACTGAGAACCAAGTATTCAGCTACAACTGGATTTAGAAATGGCAAAGTTAATCATTCACTTTGCTATAAGGGCTAGATGCTACTGGACCTAATCAGCCTTAGATTAGACACATTTTAAAAATACTGTTATTTTGCTACTTTAGCTATATTTAACTGCTGGCACTTTTACGGGAGCTAGCTAAGGTGCATTAGCAGTGTCCAGCTGTAAAACACTACTGAAGACAAGAAAAAGTAGCTTCACTGCAGTCCAAGTCCACTTGCCTAGCCATATGGCCTTGTTTTCAGTAGGTTTCTGCAGTGAGATTGCTCATTATCTTGCTGTAAGCATACCTCTTGGCAGTGAGCATAGCTTTAGTCAAACTAATTCCATTTTATTTGAGGTGGTGGTTGGCAATCTTTTAAGGCTACAGGCTGGATTGAGCCAGTTCAGGTGGAACCCAGGTGCTGGCACATGGAAAACATTACTGCTGTCACTTTTCCCCAGGGCAGGGCAGGGCAGGGCAGGACTGGGTGCAGGGGAAAGGGATTGCTGAGGAAGCACCCCCTGTTTCCCCCCCACACCAATGCCACCAAAACCCCATGGTTCAGCA